ACGGAGTCAAATAAAGCAACTAGATTGCAGATAGTTAAAATTGTTTTTTCTTTCAAAACTGTTGTAAACTTGCTCAACGTTTTTTAACAAGGAGAAAACCCTTTAAACAATAAAAGAAAAAAATCGGAAATATTTCACATTTAGAATAGGAAATTTAAATTAATACACGCGATTAAACTTGTCGGCTTTTCGAATTTTTCTATAAGTCCTAGTATCAGAATTAAAAAGACTCCAAAAAAACATGCTTGGAAAAATGGTTAGGGAGATGTGTTGATTTTAAAAATCTACCATTTTGTTTTTAAGTTCGAATGTAATTCAAAATTTTCCAAAAATAATGCTGAAATGGAGTAATCTGGGTTTTGATTTTTACCAATATTTTCACTCTCTGCTCTTACACTACATTTTGTAAATAATATAAAATGATGGCGTCAAATTTATAGTTAAAAGCTTTTTACTTATCCATTTAACAAATAAAAAAAAAAAATTTCATTTTATTTTCGTTTTTATTATTTTTTTTTTTTTCAAAATTAATTTTATTTAAATAAATACTAAATACGCTCGTATAGAACTCATAATTTACCACGAATTACTCAAGTTGTCATAACTTTTTGCTCATAATAATGGGTGGGTGGCATTTTTAACGAATATAAAATAGATCCTTTATGAAAACAGCAAAATATTAAAATTTAAAATGAATGAAAAAATGTTTTTTTACTTCAAACACCATTTAGAAAATTGAGAACCATACAAAAGACCAAATCAAGACCATAGGGAATCATATTAAATTGTTTCGAATTAATATACACAAATCAGTTTAGTACCGGTGTGTGCCAACGCTAAATAAGTATTTTTTTCATTAATAAAAACAAAAGAAAACAACACACAAATAAAATGAAAGGGTTAAATTATTTTTAAGAAGCTGTTTACCATCACCCACCACCACCACCCATATAAATTATCAGTTCAATTGAAAGTAGAAAATTAAGAGAAAAGAAGGAAAATAATTGAGAACCGAAAAAGAAAAATTTTTAAATTGAAAAATTTTTTGTTTTTGTGTTTCGCTTCGCTTTATTGAAAAGAAACCGCGTAAAAATATTTTTTCCTTTATATAATAAAGAAGGCGATTTATTATAAATTTTTTTGTGGTTTTAAATGAAAATTTTTTTTCACTTTCTCAAATATTTGAAGACTTCCCTCTTTGTTTTAATTTACTAAACGTACACTTTGTCGAAAAGACAGAAGAAATCTCTCTTTTAATACTCTTTATTTAAATTTGAATGAATAAAATTTTTAAAGAAATGTAGATGAAAGGTGAAATTATTATCAATGAAAAAAAAACTGTCAGTCTTTTATTTTCCAAAATTAAATTTAATTTTCATTTCATTTTATTGTTAAAGATTTCCGTGTAAAACTCATTGAAAAAATATAGAAGTAAAAAGGTTTTTCTGTTATTCAAAAGAAATTAAATTAAATTTTCAATTAGTAAACTACTTCATTTTTATTTGTTGAATAAATTCAAAAATAATTTGAAATAATAGAAAGGTTCAATATATGAAAAACTGAGAGTCATAAGCCATTCAGGTAATTAATATGTTAAAAAAATTTTGTTTAAAATCGAGCGTTTTAAGGTTTCCACAATAAATTTGAATGTGATATCCAAATTCAAGTTTATTGCTACTAATATCGTCTACACTTAAATTAAGATCGACTCATTTACAAAATAATTAATTCATTGTTTTCCTGTTTTATGAAAATTCTAAATAAACTACTTCTATAAAAAATTTTTATTTAGCATTCGGTAATCATCACTATGAAAAGCAACACTATTCTTGTAGTTATAAAAAATAAAATTGCATATATTTGGGCTAACATATTTTAAAAAATTAATTAAGAAAATGTATGCAATTTCTTTTTTTTTATAAAGTTCCTAGTTAAGTTTCCAATTTTAATTTTTGAATTTCCCGTTTTTAGAATAAAATTTTTTAGCAACACGTTCTGCAAAAATAAATATTATCTAACAATTATAATAAAAATTAATTTTAATTCAACATCCTTTCCTCATTATCCTTTTTAATAAAATCTATAAACGATTTATATTATTAAAGCTCATTATTGCGGGTATTTATTTCTTAAATCACATAAACTTATGAAAAATGTACTCAAAAATAAAAAAGATGGATATGAGGACTAAACTGGAATATTAATTTAATAAAACTTAATTTGCTATATGAATTGCAAAAACATTTGTTTTAACATTTTCCTTGGCTTTTCAGTCAATTTCTTAACAATATATGGAAAAACCTTTCACTCTAATCCCGCCCATCCTCTTACCTTTGTAATGTCTGTACGGTATATACCCAAAAAAAAAAAAGAGTTTTTTTTTTGGTTTGAAATATTTCTCATAAAATAAAGAAAAAACTACAAAAAAATGAAAAAGAAAATTGCGTGTAAATAACTTTTAATAGGGGAAAATAAAAAGTCTCTCAAACCCCAAGAGTGAAACTATATATACAGTTAATATTCAAATACATACATATTTATACACAAATGTATAAATGTATGAATACATACACATAATAATATGTAATTGTATTCAATTAATTGTGTATAATATATAGAATGAGCACAATGTGTAGATATATAAAATAAAAATCAATTTTTACGATTATCCGTTATCACTGTTAGTTTTATGAGGTATTTAATTAGTTAACAAGTCATAAAAGAGAACATTAAATACCGTTTATTTGATTCACAACAATAATGAAAGCTTTTTACTTAGCAAAAATAGTTTGTGAGTATACAGATTAAGGAAAATAATACTTGGATGAAACAACTGTCACAAGGAAACCTGATATTGAATTCCTAAAATAGTGTATCACTATGCTATTCAGCTAATAACATTCATATGGTGAATTATTCAGCAATACCTTAAATATAATTGGAATTTAAATTGCATTTTATATTAACTGGATTTTAGAGATTTTTATTTCTCTTTAATAATTACATCCATTTAGTAAGTTAAATTTTAATAATCTATTTTATGCTACAAAATTTAACATACGTCAAATAAAATATCTGAGTAAAACAATTATATAAATAAAATTAAGTATATAAATAAATTTTCAATATAAGAGTCTAAGGCTACTTCGACTCTGACCTCTGGATTTGGCTCTTACTATGATCTCTGGACATGCTTTTTGAAACGTTAGCTCTAATCTATTACTTTTTCTTTTTTTATAGAATACAAAATTTTTTATTAAAGGTACCACATATAAAATATAAAAATATTAAATTAGAAGAACTTTAAGTAAAAATTACAATAAATTATAGTTTTGCTTAAGTTTCAATACAGGAACTGTTATATAAAGTAGAATCAAAAGTGCTTATGACCAGTTAAAATAATATGAAGAATATTATATAAACATTATAATTTATGTAAAGAAATCACTATTTTCCCGAATCTACAACTTAAGGTAACTTAATTTCAAAATTTCACTCATATTATGTATTATTCCTACACATAACAATTCGAGATCCAAGATTCGAGTTTATGTATACCATTTCCGGAAAATTATAGATTGGCATAATTGAATATATGAGCTTTCTTGCATTGCTTTATATTTAATTTTAATAAAGTGTTTCTGTATAATTTGATTATTTTAATTAATTTTAGAATAATTATTGAATATTTAAATATGATTTTGATTTTGAATTTGCCACTTTACTTAGCAATATAAGATGTTCCGAAAACTAAAAATATAACAATACGATTACTTAATTTTTGTCACAAGTATTAAAAATTTACCATAACAAATTGCTCGAATTCAATTAAGATATATTAAAAACTTTGTCTACAAAGCTAATTTATTTATGTAGAAACAGGAACTATGTTAGATAACAATATAGGTTTCGTATGTGAGTACAAAACTTTTCAGTTAAATTTGCAGAATCTTTACCAATAATTACATATCTTTAAATATTATTTTTTCTGTTCAAGGAAACTGTATTGTATTGTAAGAAAGGAAAAATTTTGGAAAGAATACGTATTACATTAAGTATACTTTACATAAAATTTACTTACTAACTTGATTTACTTAAAAGTGTTTCGATTGGAATATTCAAAATATTGAAATTTCAAAGTATTAAGAAAACTAACAATTCATATTACAATTACAAATTAATTAACAAAAACACCACGATCATAAAATATACTTTGATCTCACCAACAATATTTTTAGCTGATACACGAACCAATACTTTTTAATTTTACACCTGAAATAATAGTTCACCAATATCTTACAAACAGGTAAAATTTGATTAGTAAAGGTAATAGTCTCTTAGATAGGTAATTTAAGAAAAGACGAAGATCTGTAAAATTAGTTTCAAATGTGTTTTCTTCAACAACACTGCTATTGTCATTTCATTCATTAACAGTGGAATTACATTTTTTTGTTTTCAAATTAAAATACAATAAAATATCAATGTATTTATTGTTAAAAATATTTGAAAAATAATAAAAAATTAATATTTAATCAAAAAACAAAATAATTTAAATAAAAATTTTAATATTTACTTTGAAATAAGCAATTTATTTGGGAGAGTTTACCAAGGATGAACATGAGAATGAAATTTCTTCTCAAGAAATTTTTTTGATTCATAATTTATCAAAATAAATGTAATAGTGAACATGTGTGTGAGTGTATATGTGTCAAAATTATAGGTTTCTGTAAAATATTTTGACGATCGGTATTTTTTGTATAAATGTGTTAGTGTTTTGTTTACATTTTTTTACTTTTGTATAAATATATGTATTTTGTTGTGCGCTCAACAATACTAATATTATTGTTTTGAAAAGAATGTGCTTTTAAATTTTGTAATAATCAATTTAGTTTTTCAATATATTATATACCTAGTATTCAAGAATATAGAAAATTTAAATATTGCAACATTACATAAATTTTAAAGTAAATTTTGATATATACTTTTAAAATCAATAGACAATGGGTACACGTGTACCTCCACCACCAACACCAATGTGTGATAAAGCAATGGCTGGAATTCCACAATTAATTGATGATTTACAAAGATTATCAGAAGATCAGGATAGTTCTGATGTTGTTTTTATACTTGGACGTGAAGAAGAACGTATTTATGCTCATCGTATAATGTTAATGGCAAGGTAAGTAACATACCCTATGTATATTAACGCTTATGTATATAGTACGAAAACAGTAAGAGTGCAAATAACGAAAAAAGTAAAATGCAAGTTAAATTTAAATATTTAAAATGTTGAAAATTTAAAAGAAATTGATTGAAAGAATTTTGTTCAAATGGATGATCATGTACTTATTCTTCAAATTTGTGATATTTAAAATATTTTCTATATTTAAGTTGTATTTTGAGAAACAAGATTACAAAGGAGCTAGTATAATGAAATATTGGGAAACTAATATCAATTCAATTAAAGTACAATTACTTTTTGAACAATATACTTTTGCCTTGATGAAAACAAACAAAAACAATTTCTTCACACAACTGCTGAACAGGTATATGATGTTGGCTAAAAATACTTGCCTTGACTAACACAAATGTTAGAAACCCAGATACGGTCTCATCTGTCCTTATGGTTTCGAAACATTTACTATATATGGAAATATATAGTTTCGTCTTTTAAATTACTAAATATTATTTTCCAAATAATTTCCTGTGATTGTTTCAACTGTACAAAAAGAAAATTTTATTAACTTATTTTAATTAATATTCAAAAGCAATATGTGCTTTAAGTGATCTAATTAACATCATCAAATTTGAATCAAAAGCTAGCCGCTTCATCTTTACACCATAACTTTTTTCTTTTATGCTTATAAATACAAAATATATTTTATTTGAATAGCAGAAGATTTAGATTTGAGGTGCAACAACACCAGGATCAAAAAATGCCGCTCCCTTGCCTTATATTTATTGTATGTGCTTCATAAATTGTAAAATCAAAGGAACATAAAATCAAAAATTTTTTTGGAAGATTTTAAAATTTTACAATGGAAAAAAAAACAATTCTACTGCTATATAAATTCTTCTTTTTCCATTATGTATATTAAATAGCTAACGCCAATCGAAAGAAAATTTGCCAATTCTCATAAGATATTTTTTTCGTTTCTTTTTGAAGAGGACTATTTCAATTACAGATTCTCTAATTTTTAAAAACAAATACATTCAATTTGTTGTCCTTTAATAATCAAGAGCATTGTATTTTCATTATATAACATTTACCAAATCCCTAAGAAGAAAAATACAGTCCTTTAAATATTCTATGGTAGTATATTAAAGGGGATACTCTAAAAATAACAAATCAAAATTAATTTTATATAGTATAAGAAATAGGAAAAAGACAGAAAATGTTTACGTTTTATTCACTAAGGAATTAAAATTTTCTTATCATTGTTCAAAGTGAATTTTGAAAAATTTTGTCGCATATTTGAAACATATACGAAAAAAAGAAAATTGTTTTAGAAATACAAAAAAGGATCTAAAGTTCTAAGTTTCTTAATTAATTTGATTTATTTCTGTGTTTCGTATTAATTTCACTACTTATTTCTTTTCATCTAATCTCGCAAATAGAGTGGTTAAAATACTCCATCTTTTCAAAATATGATCTAGAACTATGGAGATTGTGATATTTCATGCAATAATTTTGCAATTTACATAAAACGTTACGCAAAACCCTAGAATATAGCGAGTTCACTAATACTAATATGATATTATGAATTAATTATCACAATTTAGAAGGAAAAATATTGTTCAACTAACCAATGAATAGTTTTACAAAATTTTGGAAATTTAAATTTAATTTCAATCATAAAGTTTTATTTTTAAATCTGGTTTAGAGTACATTATTTCATCATTTATTCTTATTATGAGTTACATAAGATTCTATCCACTTGACTTGAGTTTTCTTAAATTTTTCGATACCACTTTAACCGTGCTTTATACACTCAACAGTTTCGTTTTAATTGAATTTACTTTATACGGAACAGATGGTCATTTATTATGTTCCACAATTCATTTAAATTTTCGGGAAAAATTAATGTAAGTTGAAGAACCTAACAAATTTGGAATACTTTTTTCAACATTGGTAAGGTTTTTTAAAGTAAAAACTGCATTCATGACAATTAAGTCAAAACAACTTGAACACTTATTGGAATATTCACTTATTCCAATATTTCAGAAAATTCAAAAATTTTTTTCCATTACTCAATATTTTTCTCATACCATAAATAAGAAATCAATTTCTTTTTAAAGTCGGAAAATTCTTTTCAAGTGATTATTGGTTTTTGGTAAGAAAAAGAAAAATAAAAGTTAAAAATAATAAAAAAAATACCAATTCATTTTCTCAAACAAAAAATATCAAATTATCACCCAAACGCACCCTTTCCACTAACGTCAATTTCAATCCATATCGAAAACTTCTTCTTATTTTTTTCCTCAATGTTGAATGGAAACAATCAAAACCATATGAAAAAGGAAAAAAAAAGTGAAAAAAGAATTTTGATATCCTGGATCCAGAAACTTAAATAAATATTGAATGTCCGAAATAGAAAAGCCATTAACACTCTTCTTATTTCGTTTGTAGAAAAAAAAAATAAAAACAGTTGAATTTTTTTTTTCGAAAAAGGATGTTCTAAGGAGATATTATAAGGATATACACATGATTATGACAACCAGTTTAATTTTCATCTTAAAAATTTCTTTTTGTTTTTTTTGGTTCAATGGTGTTCTGTTTTGGGACTTTAACTTTGGTAAATTTAGAGAAAATTCCGTAACACTTAATTTATTTCTCGTATTTGGTACAAAATAAAGGGTAAATAATTGCGAGTTTTTTTTAGCACATTTTGAATATTTAAAATTATAAAAATGCTAGCGTTACTACAATCGTTTGTCAATTAGTGGTTCATTCATTGTTGTATTCAAATATATGCCTCCATCCATTTTTAAAGCTTATTTTTATTTTTAAAATTCAAATTTTCTACAAAAATTAACTTTAGTATAAGGTTATGCTAAATTCATTACCTTACTTTTTATTCCTAATCCACTAGCTTCTCATCTCGCCCGTTGTTTTGAATAAAATCGAAAAGAGGAAGAAAAGAATTTATAGGAACGAGATAATGAAATGAAATATAAGAACACATTGCACAAAATATAATGACTACATTCCTACAAATTTAGTTGTTAAAATGAAATGTACTCTTTGATTCTCTATGCTTTTAAAATTCTTTCTTAATATTAAGATAGAAAGCCATACTGAAAATAAAACTGAATTAAAATCATTTTAAAATTTCTTATTAGCAAGAGTTCAACTTTTAACAAATTTGTTTACTTTTCATATCAAAATAACTATAATGAAAGATTGGAACATGCACATATATGCCTATAAAAATTTTAGATAATTCCATAATTTCAGTAATTTAAAAATGCTCTCTCAGTCCAACACAATTTTTATTTCAAATGTAGTTTTTATACCATCATTTCACAATAGTGTTTTAATATACAACTTAATAACCAATTAATATAATAGTATATAATATAGTAAATATATAGTATATAGTAATTCTGATTCTGGGCACTAATTTTGTGGGTTATACATATATTTATTAAGAGCATTTAAAGCGACGATCAATAATTTCCTTTCAAGAATATCATGCTTTATATTTAAACTACACAATGGGCTTAATTTAATTTCATAGATAAGGGATAGAGCTAGAATAAGGCATACCTATATCTTCTTTAATATGCAACGAAAAATGTTTATAATGAAAGATTTCGTTCCCCTGCATATTATTGATATTACCTAATAAAATAAATTTATTGAATATTATCCTGTCTAATATCTTATGCGTGTACGAAACATGTAAAAATTTTATTTCAACAAATATCACTTAAAAAAGTCTTATAAATTACTAAAAAATTTGTTTAAAATTATACATTTAAATTTTTATACATAATTATTACGGTAAATTAATTTACCGAAATATAAATGTATGTTAGATTAACATTAGATCAATTTAAAGAAATAATGTCATCAGAATTTTATCTACCACTTCGTTTGTAACACTAAAAAATAAAGGCCCAAAATATAGACGCAAGAATATTTTTTTTATCAGCATCGATTTCTGAATCTATTTAATTTAACTATGTTCTGAATTTAACCATGTCTGTTCGCCTGTCGGTTTATCTGTCCGTCGCATAATTATAAATGACTTAAATTTAAATAAATGATTTATGTAACTAAATAGTTACAGACCCTTATTTTTGATTTTAATGTGGTATTTAAAAGAGTAGGTCAAGTACTCGCCATACGAATTTGAAACTTATTGGACTATATATCAGAAATTATAGAAGCTATTGTATAGAAATTTCGCATAAGCAACTTAATTATTAGCGTTGTTGTTATGTTAAGAATTACTAAAATTTTTCGACCCCTTGTGATAGCCGTCATAAAAATTCAAGAAATATTTTGGTCATATTATTGGAAATTGTTGAAATCATTATTTTCGAAAAAAGAATTAGAGATTGTATAAATTTATATGGTAACTGCCATATATGTATTAAGTAGCACAATAAATCAAAAAAACCAAAGGCCGTATGAAACAATTTGACAATTATTATGATAAAGCTTTTAAAATCATTCATTCGTACGTGTATCACAGAGTTAACGCGATCAATTGTATCTGTACTAGTTTTTTTAATAAAATCTAAATTAAATATTATTTTATATGAAATAAATTATAGTAATCTAGTAAAAAATTAAAATGAATTACTTTCCATTACAAATTCAGGTTTTTTTCCCTTCAGTATTTTAGTTTTTGCTTAACTCTTTAAATAATTTAAATTAATTTATTTATGTTTGTGTATAAGAAAATCATTCAAATTTTTATTTCTTAGTGAATTGTTTGTTGTCAAGACTAAATAATTACTTCTTTATTCTTAATAGAAAAAGTGTGAATACGAAGACATTGCTCAGAAAAAGAATAATTTTATTGGTAAATTAATATTTTAGAGCTTTAACAATTACAAAAAAACTCAATAAAAATTATCTTACTAAAGAAAAACAGAAGCAGTGGTTTTGACGGCAGTATACAAAATTCATAGTACTCTACTCTTTGATTTTCAGTACATAATGACAACCTAAATCTTTCAATATACACACAGAATAGAAGTCACGTTACAAAATTCAGGAATAGAATCTTGAATATACTAGCTCGCGTATATACTAGGATCTGTTATTTGGAAAATTACATCACATGAACACATGCAACTTACTTAACTTTTGCTCAACTGGTAAATAAGAAGGAAATATAAAGGAAGAGGATCTAAATTTACTTACAAACTCTATATTTTATAAGCATCTTATATAAATTTGTAAATTTCATATAGTAGTACATAGTCTAAAAACTGATATATTCAGTTTTAAGTTTCTCCTTTGGAACTTCAGCTATTTTTCAAAAAATTAGAGTAAAATTCTATTCAAGTGAAATTAAAAAAAAAATTGTTTATTTGTATTTTGAATTGAATTTTAAATTCATTCCTTCAATTTATTTTCCTTTTCAATAAAATTTTTCAATCGTAAGTCAAAGTGGAAATTGAAAAAGAAAACGCAAAAAATATGTTAAAAACCACATGAGGGGGATGGTGGTGAAACAGGTAACTTTACGGCAATATATGAAATTCAAAAACTTACGAAATTTTTTGTGCCCTCCTGATAGCTCTTCAGTTTTATTGATTGAATCATTTTCCACTTCTTATTGTTTCACTTTTTTTTCTGAATTCTCCATCTATTTGCTCTTGAACACAAATCAAGCGGGATGTTTGAACATTTAAGGATTTCAATAAATAAATGTAAAAGAGAAGGAAAAAAAATATTAAAATTAAAGAAAAAAATTGACAATTTATTTTGAATTTCGATTTTCTCACTTCCCGTACTGCGCTCTGTTTTTCATATTTTTTCCAAATTTTTTATTTCATGTTCGTTAAATTTCTTTTGACAAATTTTTCTCTCAGATACCTAGTTTGTAAATGAAATACAAGAGAAATTCACGACGTGCAAAAAAAAAACAACAAATTCATTTTAATATTTTTTTCTCTTTTGAAAAAGATATCCGTGTCTTTTTGAATATCTTGCAGCGCTACTAAAAGTGAAGATTTATCTTCAAAATTAAGGTTTTTTAATGCTATTGAAGTTCTTCAGAAATTAAATTTTTTACACCTTTTTCCATATTTTCCAAAGTTCACAAAATTAAGTCATTTTAATAGGCATGGTAACGCAACTTCCATAACAGTAATCATCGACTGAGCATAGGTCTATGACGTCATATGCCATTGTACGACATTAATTTTCCTTTTTAGTGTTTGATGTGGTTCGATTTGAAATCGTGATATTTTGGTTTCCTACTTTTTTCAATTTAACTTCAATTGAAGATCTAAAAGGGTTCGTGAAGATTTTTTTTTGAATCTTACGAATAATGTATATTTTATTTTAAAAAAATTAAGATATTAAGGTTTATTAATTTGGCAGCACTGATACCGTGGCACTTTGATTGCAAAAAATAATTTTTTCTGCAAGAACTGGATATACACACAGGGACTTACAATATACTAAATTCTACTTGAATCTAAAATTTTCGATTATAGTTACAACGGGAGGTACAAAGAAAGGTACCATGTACATATATATTCTCTGAGCTATATGTAATTATTTCAGTTCTGTATTGAAAATATAAAAATATAAAAATAAATGGGTTTCGATACAGCTGCTGATTACATGGTTTTCTTTTTTGATATTTTATTTGTTCATAACATTATAATAAATCTCTAATATAGCATTTATAACGCGAAGATTTTCATAGGGGGACGAAAGTAGTTCCTTCAAACTACAAAAAATTAAATTAATTAATTAACCCGAGACGTGGACTATAATTTTTTCAATCTACTTACATTAGGATAACTTTACTGAAAAATTTTTGCAGATAGAAACTTTTATCTTTTATAGAAGAAGTTAAATATTGTTATGAAATAAAATTCAATGAAATAAAAAAATCGGGCGAAAGACCTATTTTTAATTATACACTTTACAAAATAACTTTAAAGTTATATTTTTAAATGAGAAATCGGTAATATGATGCCAACTTGCTTGACTTTTCAACAAAATAATGTGAAAATTCAGCAAAATAATTTTAAATTATAACAAAAATTACAACTTTTCTTAGTAATTTTGAATTCAAATTGAAATTTGAATAATTTTAAATTTAAAAAAAAAAAAACTTATTCAATATTAATTAATCAACTATTTTTTTTTAATTTTAATATACTGTTATTAAAATTTAAAAAAAAAATAATTTGAAAATTTTCTTATATTTTGTTGTTCTTGTTCTCAGAGAAAAAGGACTGTATTTTATTGTGAATATTATTGTGAATATTCTTACAAATAATTGTGAATTTGAATAAAATATAAAAATTGTTTTTTGCTGTTAAACACAGATGTCAGCAAAGTAGGAAAAATTAATTATATTTATAAAGACCATGCGATATCTGTTTTTTATGAAAGATATTTTTGAGAATCAGCACAGCACATAAAGACTATAAGTACTCAATAAAAAATCGCATATATTTCCAAAATGAATTTGATAATATTGTTAATCTTTAATGTATAAAAAGTTTTTTTTTTACCATCTGCTTATGTCTTCTTTATTAGATGTAAAAGTTTTCAAACAGCAAAACGTGGAGAGCTGTGTCGAATACCGGGTAGCACTGTATCACCTGCAGCACCAGGAAGTCCGACTCCTGTAAGATTGTCAAATGTAAATCCAGATGTTTTTCGTCAATTCATTTTATATATCTACACTGGAAAAGTAAATAGAAACAAGTTAAAAATTTAAAAAAAAACCATGCTTAAAAGTAAATTTTTTAAAATAAGAATATGGGATTTTTTTAGATCATTATGCAAGATTCAAGAGTTTTCGAAATGATGACATTAGCCCAAGATATGGGAGTCGAAGAACTAAGAGGAGCTTGTGAAGATCACGTAATTTCAACTCTTTCGGTAGATAATGCATGTACGTTTCTAATAGCTGTAATGCAGATTCATGAAAAGGCGTCTGGTAAGATTAATCATGATTATATGTTGATAATATTTTTTTATTGCTGTTTACTTCATAATCGAAATTACGCACATTTCAGAGTCAAATTTTTCAAATACATAGAAAAAAAATAAATTGAATAAATACAGTAATACCCCGCACTTACGTACCCTTTGGGACCGGAGCGTGTACGTAAAACAAAAATGTACGTAGAATGAATCTACTACTTTATTGATGAATAATATGTTTGAAACAAACTAAAACAATAAATATATAAATAAAAAGAAAAAGAGGGATATTATGTATGCAGTTTTATACTTTTATTTCACACGTTTTTATACTATATTTAACACTTAACGTGTATTAAAAAAACAAAACAAAAAACAAATGCATATACATATATAAATATCAAACAAAACTGAAATATAAAACATAAACTTCAAAATTCATCAATACATAATTTAAATATAAATAAAAACACGTTGTTACAAGTGTACATTCTCAATTTGGTATACATAATTTTTTTTTCCATAAATTTCAAAACCAGAAAAAATGTACTTGTACGTAAGTGTGGATCATTGTACGTATAATGGGCAATTGGGGACAAAAATGAGATGTACGTAAGTGCGAGGGTACGTAAAACGAGCGTACGTAACACGGGGTATTACTGTACTTCTTTGACTTGCTTCTTTTGCTATTTATTTTGCAATTTTAACACGAAAGTATAGGTGTCGCTTGAAGAAGTTAAAATAATATTTGTGAATGTCATTTGTGTTTCTTATTTCATTTTGCTTTTAGTTAAGTTGATAAGTGACATTTAAAAGCCGCGTCTTTTGTGTATTAATAAAATAAACGTTTATTAATCCTGTTTTTTTTATTATAATTTTCATTTAAATTAAAGTATTATTAAATAAAGTAACCATGTCTTACAAAGGGAATACAAAAGTTCAAAAAGTTATGGTTCAACCCATTAACTTAATTTTTCGATATTTACAAAATCGATCTAGAGTTCAAGTTTGGCTGTATGAAAATATATCACTAAGAATCGAAGGACATATTGTGGGATTTGATGAATATATGAATCTTGTCCTAGATGATGCGGAAGAAGTATATGTCAAGACGAGGCAAAGAAAAAACTTGGGTAGAATAATGCTTAAAGGAGATAATATAACGTTGATTCAAAATGTTAATCCTACAAAAGATTAAGGTTAGGTTAAGACAACCAAAAAGTAATATTAAATAATTTCCATAATTTGAATTGTAAAATTTAAATTTAGATTTAAGGCGAACATATGATATGAAATTTAGAATTGAATACATAAAAGATTAAATACCTGACTTGAAAGAGAAGTGTTTTTTTTTATTGATTTATGCGAATGAACAGGTTAAATCGGGCGGGTTTTTAAAAGTAGTAAAGAGCGAAGAAGAAAATGTGCTTAATTTTTAGCGAAAGAAAATTGCTATGATATTGTACATATGATTAGAGCATCCTTTAAGCTTGTTTTGATATTTTTTAGCCAAATGTGCAGCATCATTTATGGAAAGGTGTATTATATACATTGGTGAAAATGCTTCCGAAGTTGTGAAAACTAACTCATTTTTAAATTTAACCAAGGACGGTTTGATAAAATTGATTTCATCAGATTATGTAAGTTTCAAGATTCACACTACTCGTTTTTACATATTTTAAAAAGTGCTGCTATGTTATTGTGGTGCACATATATACACATATATAGCTATAAATTCTTTTTGTAGTTTTGTTTAGAAGAAGAAAACGTTTGGCGTTGCGTTTTAGCGTGGGCAAAAAATCAAGCTGGAGTAACACAACCAACAGCCCATTGGACTGAAGAGGAAAGAGTTCGCGTTTGTCAACATCTCTCCGGCGTAATGGGATATGTAAGGCTACTACTTATTGACAGTCAAGTATTTGCTGAAGAAGTAGAACCCACTGGTGCAGTTCCAATGGAACTATCATTAGAAAGGTATCGATATGCTGCATTGAATTCAAATAAAATGGGTGGTGGTACACCGATTCCACCTCCAACAGTCCCCTTACCTGGGGGTCCACTGCAGGAAAATGATAAACGTCTACAGCCTCGTCTCATGATGAATATGTTTCCTGGATCTGTAATATTAAAAAAAGATAAATTGCATCTGCAAGGAGTTTTAAATGGTTGGTATGGTGTACCAAAACAAAGTTGGAGATTGATATTTCGTGCGTCAACCCATGGATTCAATGCAACATCATTTCATAGACATTGTGATGGAATATTTCCATGTTTTGTTATAGCAATTGTATGAAATAATTTAATTTTCTCGTAAATTAAGATTTTATTTTATGTAGCTTTTTTTATATTAAGGGTACCCGCGGTGAAATTAGTGGTGGTTTTACGGATGTTCCATGGGGCAAAACTAATCGAAAAGGTGGTTACATTCATTCAGATCGTGCATTTTTATTTACGTTAAACTCTAATAATGAATCTCCATGCAAATTTGATATTATTAAGAAGCCATATGCTATTTGTTATCATCCTGAGTAAGACATTCATTTTAAATTTTACCAGAAAACATAAAATTTTATTCTTTTAGTTGTGGTCCAATATTCGGAGGTGGCGCTGACTTACTTATTTCAAGTTGTTGCAACACAAATTCAGACTCATATTCGAATTTACCACATTCATATGATGGAATTAACGCAGATTTTAGTACGTTATTCGGAGATTATCATTTTCAAATAAATGATTATGAAGTATATACACTTGCTGCCCCCATTTCAACCCCATCATCGAATTTATTGTCAACCCAACCTGGTATCAAAATGAAATATGATCGTTATTAAAAGATACTAAAAAGACGTAGATTTTTCTTGAAAAATCATTGTATCAGTATTCTATGGTTGTATTGATAAGACCTTGTGAAACTTATCTTGCCTATATTTAATAAAGTATTTTAAATTTTATAAAACTCTTCATAAGATTGTGTTATTGGATACACTTCATAATAAAAATAAAGGTCAATAAAAATATGCAAATTCAACGGAAAAAGCCTAATTTTAAAAATCAATTTTGATTCAAGTAAAAATTTGGATAAAGCGAAATCGGATATCGACGAACAATTTGAATTTTATCGCAAGTTACTTTAAATAATTGTTCTTTCATACCTAAATACCATTATGAATGCAATTGTAAGTAAGAATGCAAGTATAAAATTTTATTTAGACATTTGCTAAAATTTCTACACATAATTTGTACATACATATGTATACAACATTCAATTTTATATGATAATATAACATTAAAATTTTTAGGCGAAAACTTAAAAATTTGCACAAATTTTCTATATATTTTTCTAAAAAGACGTGTTTTCTAATTTAGTTAATACTTAAATGACACCAAATTTCAAGATTTGTTGCGCAGCTATAACTGCATGGCATTATCAGAACAACTTTATAAATAAGATTTTCTCTAAAGTAAGATATCTATTTTTGAAGTTTAAGACGGTTATTAAACCTACAAAATTACAAAGGGAAAACACCTTCAAATTTTAAAACATGATGATTTAATAATTTTGATAATAAAATAATGCGCATTCTTAATCATATTCATTAATCAAATAAAAGGTCTAAACTGCAAGTTGAGTTACTATCTATTGCTAAAATTTTAGTTGGAACAATAGATTCAATTTAACTTATGGAGTATGAAAGCTCTTACGTTGCGAGAAAGATTTTTCAAAACACATACGCTTCCAGATATATGTACATATATTATAAATTTCTGGGTTATCAATTTGATTTAAGTCTTGGAATAATAGGTAAATATACAACAAATGGATTTTCAAAATATGTATTTTTACTATGAAAGCAATGATTTTAAAGATTTTATGTGTATGTTGCATCTAAAACATTTTGTTTGAACGAATTTGTATAAAAGTAACCTTGCAAACAAAACAAAATTGCAGAAGTCGGATATAGAAAAACCTAAAGGAATCTGAATGTTCAAAAAATAAAGATCACATACAAAATTAGCAATTTTAAAAAACGATCAAAAATCGAGCTAAATGAACAAAATTACCTAAGGTATATTTTTGGAGTTATACATACATATGTACATATGAATCAAATATGTACGTTAAAATTTTTAATACGTATATAAATACATTCTGAATTACCTACATGCGTGGGTACATATTCCCAATAAAGTTTAGAACTACATGCTGCATTACTCTGCCAACAGGAATTCAGAGAAATTTTATGCTCAAGATTACGGTGAATGACTTCAATACTAATATAGTTTAATATTTTACTCATAATAGATCTACCCAAGACAATTCTCCTGTAAATTTTCTACATGATATATTTTTCTACTAAAAAAAAAATATTAATAACTCACATATTTCTCTAAGTGTTATGCTGTCACATTTTTATCTTGAACAGGTTTCGTTATATATAACACATTTAAAATGTATTATAATGAATTATCTATTTTGGACAGAACTAATGTTTTATTTTTTATTTTATTTTACATGCTTAACTCAAACATAATGCAAAATATACCTTGGTATGATCAGCGAAGCGAACGGTTAGGCGACTCGAATGGACTAGGCGAATCGAATAATATTTTAAATTATGATCGGCGAATGCTTTCATTCAATCCAGATCAAAAATGTTGTTACCGCAAGACATCAGAAAACTTACCGAAAATAATTAGGTTAACACCATACATAAGTATGTGTATAGTTTTTCCTTTTTTGCAAAAACAATTGAATTTTGCTATCCTTTAGCAATTACGGGGTTGTTGTCCATTAATTTATTTAAATCCCTGAATTTTTTTTGGTTCGTTTTTTTCACGTTTAAATTAATATTAAGCAATCAACATTTTTTACAATAATTTGTAGAATTTTACGAATTTACTTTGCAGATAACGTAGATTAGGTTTTTCCATTATATCACTAACTAATAAAAAAAACAGTTATGTATTAATTTGATTTTTGGTTTCAGTCGCCAAGCTTGTTACACAAAATTTTCATTCGACAGATTTGACAGCTCATTCGCCTAAAATTTAGGCGAATAATAGCAAAAATTCATATTCGCTAAAAATTTCATTCGCTACGCCGATCATAATAAGACCCATAATATACATATCAATTTACATATTAAACAAAAATCTATACTAAATCCAAAAAAAGGAAAAACAATGGTGAAAAGACAATTTAAAAAGTAGTCAAATTAAAATTGAACTGAAGACTGAAAGTTGGAATTTAAAAACATGTCTGAAATAATTCTATTTTGACAACAACCTAAAAACGTTGAATATAGTGAGCATGATACTAATATTACCGAAAAATTTTCAATTCCGCATAAATTTTTAAATTCTATTATTTAGAAGGCGAGAAAAGGTTCTAAATTGTAAATTCTACAAGATTGAATACTTTTACTTAATTCAATATCTACATGTAATTAATAATTGCTCTCCGAGTATATCGATTATGTTATTTTCAATATTATTATGATTACATTCTTATTTGTTGCTTTTATTATTACTATACACTATACTCTTCAATAGAACAAAATTTTTCTTCTCAAAATGCACTTGCATTAAAACACGATTTCCCACAACATTAAAATCATCTGTATGTTTGTTTGTTCTTATACTTTTTACAATATTTATTTGATGCTTGAAATTTATTGTGTGTGTCAGTAAATCATCATGAATTATTATTATAACGTTTTCGATACAATTTATTCAACTTTTCAAGAAACAACTGTTGATATTTTAGTGCATATAATTTTATATACTAAAGGGAATTTCGAACCAAGTATCCATACTTGCATACATATGTATATTTATATCAACTTGTATGACATATCTTACCTACAATATTATAATGTTACGTTTTATCTAGTTGATAAACTTATAAAAATATGTGAAATGATGACGATGTCAGCACGCACTAACTATTTTTATAGAAATTAACTGTAGTTATTAACTGTAAAGTTATATAAGTTATAAGAATACGCCTATAAATATAATATTATGATAAAATTTTTTATTGGTTCTGTTTGTAATTTGATGGAAAGAACATTTTTTAAGTTATTTCAACTTCCAATGTAGCTACATGTTGTACGTTGAACATTACTACATATTAAAAGGAAAATAAAAGGATTTTTTCATCAAATTCGCATCAAATTTGTAAATTGAAGCAATGTTTTAAAAGTGTTATTCATAAAATCTTTATTAATGAGCAATTTTTTTACTAGCATATCAATCAGGCGCTTCATATCGTTAACACAAAATATTAATACATATGTTCATATTTTGAATGTAATATTAGGTTTATCGGTTTGCCAGTTTGTTTGTACATTTATATGTACCCAATAGCAACTTCATCTAATTTTAGAACAGATTTAAAGTGCTTTCGATATATTCTCATATAACATATCCGGAAACACAGAATGCGAATAATGCTGATCTCATACTACACCAGATTTTCTCAGTTAGTACAGTTCTGTCTATGGACTTGTACATAATATAACTAATAACATTTTATTTATGGTTAATAATATTTTAAAGTAAATCAATACGATGCTATAAAATAACTCTTTTGACATTATTAGTGTATTGATGATGCATGTTCCCAACCGTAATAGTTAGTATAAAATGTACACATCTTATTTTTTTCATTTCTGAAAGAATTAAGGTTGATGTGGGTGGAAAAATACATTATTAATTTAAAATAAAATTAAAGGAATATATGGTAAAAGGTGTATGATTTTTTTCTTATTTGATGTTTTTGTAGTTAGAAATTATTTTAAAATGTACCTATAGCATATAGAGGCGAGCTCGAGCAAACACGATTCTACAGTAAAGTGTAAAAGGTATGAAATATTATTTTAAGTTAAGTATTATTGAAATAAAAATATAAGAAAAAAATTCATTTTTTATTTGTAGGTATTAAAAGGTTAATTAGAGAAATAATTATAGTGTACTTGCTTTCTGATACATTCCATGTATTAATAGCGCATAAAGTACTTATACATGTATTATATACATATATATTTATGTATACACATAGTAAAATATCGAAATAAGAATGCATTTACAATTTTATTTGAAATAATATTACACAAATATTATTGCAGTGTTATTTGAATTGTAGTAATCTTGGAAAAGGAAGAAAAAGCAAGTAATCTTTTGAGACGGTTGTAATAAATCATTTATGATGGCCATTGAATTACTGAATGATTCTTAATGTCTTAACTATAACTACTGTGTATATTGTGTATACAATATATTAAGTACGATTGTAAAGAGTAAGTTATAATTCTCTCACCTTGTTAAAAATAAATTAAAAAATTGTATTTAACTACTTTAGGTTTTGTCAGCGAAGAAAAAGTGAACTTTATATAGTAATATGTGGTTCGTTTTTTTTACCTAATGATTTCCGGTTTTAAGTTTTTCTATTTTAATTTTAATGGTTTGATTTACAGAGAATTTTTTTATTATAATTACCATTTAATGCAATAGAAATTTGCTTTTATCATTTTACCATGAGGTTTTGTAAAGAATTGCCTATATAATTTTCTTATACATATATATTATGTAAAATTATTGTTATGTTTAGATATTTTGTTGTTAGGTATGTAATGGTCATATAATTTTTTAATTTCTTTGATCAAATAATTGCCAAAATTTGTTGTATTTAAGAGAATCTAGTTTGGTTAGTTACGTAATTGTAATGGGAAAATTTAATTATAAAAAAAAGTTAATGAAGATTTACTTTTTTACAAGGACTTTGTAAAAAGGAAAACAAAATTATTGCATTTTAGAATCATAAAAAGCTGCAATTGATTTAGGAAGGACGAGCTAGTCGGAAAATTACAATTTATAATAGTGGTTTTTGTTTTAAAATTTTATAATCTGTTACAGCATGTGT